AAGATCAACAGTAATTAATATAAATGCGAGAAGTCCACCAGAAGGCTGAGTTTGGGCTTTTATATTCACAGAGTGAATTTGCATTTTATTACCTACTGCTGACTCAATGGCCTAAAGCAAACGCCTCCAAAACCTGGTAATCTTACTGTTTACTAAACATTACCATTGATATGTTTGTTTGCATTCCTAAAAGGCAATTGTGTATTCTAGTAAATAAAAGCAGACTGGAACAGAGACTCGGTGGAACTTGACTACTACAGTCGAGTTTTCCCCTGGCTTCCCCCCATAATTTCAAAATTAATATTTCTTGTCTTGTGTGTCAATTTGTGCGTCAGCTCTTTCTCCAAGTCTTTTAACCCGAAAGCTACACTAGCCGTGGCCTTTCACAGCTAGACAATGGTACATAGAGATGGGAAGAAACTTATTCTATGTGCTCAAGGTATAGAGCTATCTTCTAGATGACAACAGAACTAGGACCTTGACAACCAGTTTAAAATACTTAATGTCATAAAAGTTCAGGGCTCTCATGTATGTGAAGCAGAAACTTAAAACTTAAAAACAGTAGATGACACACTTCCATTAAGCGTGGAAGAGACAAGGGAGGTGCTACAGGGGAAGAGAACAAAGCTCCCTGTCAGAGTTGGTCTGCCTCTAAAACATGTGGCAGGCTTTGAGTGAACAGGAGCTTGTTGATGGGGGACTGGTGCTGGTAAGCCATTGCCCAGCCCCTGCAACTGACCCATGAATGTTGCTCCTTATTTTTGACAGTATCACATAGTGACTGGGTCATTCAGTAAAGAAGGTGCTTAATCTTTCCAGACTAGCTTCTTTAAGTCTACATTAAAGATGTCAAATTCAAATGTGAGAAATGTGCTTGCTGCCTACAGGAGAAGGCCCTTTCCACGGGGCAGCTTACCTGGGGACTATTCAAAGCCACAAGCTGCTTATGTCAGCACCAGGACATAGAGAATATGCTTAAGGTACCTTAACAGTAACTTATTTTAAAAGTCATCACAGGCAGAACTCATCTGGGAGAACCTCTTGCTGGAATTCACTCAGATGGGGATGGGACCTTGGAGTTGTCTGTGGTAGGAAGTACCTCACAAGAGTTCAGAAATCTAAACCCAGGGCCAACTATTTCCAGGTGGACCCTCAAACACAGATTTATCCAAATCCTGCAAAACATGTTGGAGGAAGGAGGGTAGAGTCAGCATATGGCTTTCCTCAGGCATGTCTATGGGCCAGAAATAGGGCCATATTCTTTTCCCTTTCTCGTTTGATGTTTGGGGGGTTGAGAGGTTCTGGGCTCCCTCCATTGATCTCTGTTTTGGAACTGTGTTATATCTGCTGGTGATTTCAGCAGGTCCTTTATTTGCCCTAAAAGTCCTCTGACTCTTCTCTCGGTTTGCCCTGTCTCTCTAATTATAGAATAATGCATTGGGACCAGATCCTCGGCAAGAGTACTGATTGCTCTGCTTCGCCTGGGAGGCTCTCTGTTATAAGAGTAATAATAAGGGCAATAAATAGCATAGATAGCATTTCGCTAAAGGTTCGACATGAATTGTATTTTCTAGTGGAGCCTGTGCCTAATATAATTGGTTTTCAGGATTCCATTTGTAACAAGTTGTCATATTAACATGCTGAGATTGTTAAGTGAGTATCTAATATAAGGTTTGTCTCCTGGCCCAAATTCATGAGTTATGACTGTGCTGCAGAGCTCGAACCAGATAGAAATGCAATCGGCACTAGTCTGGAGGGTCGTGTACGTAGAGTGTTATATTTTCCAGATGCATCTGACTTTAGTAGGTCCCCTATTAAGGGAAAGTGAAGAAGTGAAAATCAAGATGAAATAAGAGAATACTAAGGAATGGAGGGGATGGTAAAGATATTTGTTTTGTCCTGGGGCAGGGGTCCCTCCAATTCAAGTCTTGAAGCAGTCCTCAGTTCCCAAATTAAAAAAAAAAAAAAAAAAGGTATTTGTTTTGAGGTCCTGCTTGACATGGAAATTACAACTCTTAAGCCTGATTGAAAGGCAAGCCTGACTCTATTCATAGAGAGAGGGTTCATATGCACTATGATGTCACTGTTATTGGGGGTGGGAAACATCCATTTTATTTAAACACTAGAGGCCCGGTGCATGAATTCGTGCACCAGTGGGGTCCCTCAGCCTGGCCTGCACCCTCTCGCAATCCAGGACCCCTTGGGCCCAAAGGCCAGGCCAAGGGACCTCACAGGTGCACAAATCCGTGCACTGGGCCTCTAGGTCTTTGGTTAATCTCTTCCTGCCCTTCCCCCTCCCCCCTTCCCTCTGAGATTCATCAGTCTGTTCTATGTTTCCATGCCTGTGCATTGAGCGTCTGCCCCCATCATAGCTACTGGTTGAACGGTTGCTTAGGCTTTTATATATAGAGATGCCGTATTACAGCCAGAACAACATAAGTTTGTGGAATTGGTATAACAACAATTAGAAGTGTGAGTTCAACCTTCTGCTGTCTGTGTTTATGGGTTTACAGTATATTATCTGTACCATCAGAGACTGTGGTACATGATAATTCTAAAGAGCAGATGTGTAAAAGTCACTAGAAAGTGTTCTGTGCTGCTGCACAGCGTGCTTAACTTCTTAATCACATTTTGTTTTTAAAAGCACTAAGATTAGTTTATTCTGTGCCCGTATCACCAGGACAAGCAGAGTGCACTTAGATGGATGGACTCACTGCTTCATTTCAAATGTGAAATATCCCTGCAGAGTAATCTCTTCAGGTCACAGTGACAGCAGGCACTGTTTCTCAAAGATCACTGCCTTTCTTCCTTGTGGGGTAACCACTCTTTCCCCTTATTCCAGGCTCTTCCTTCCCCCTGAAGCCTTGTGCTTCCCCATATGACTGAGGGGTACAGATAGGAAATACAGTACCGATTACCCTAAAGAAGCTGCTGCCGTCCTAATTCTTTCTCGGTGCTTGGTGTGGATATTGGCATGTGACACAGTTCTGGGAAGGGGAATTTGAGGGACTGCTGGGAAGCATTGGGGAGTGTTTTGAAGCTCCTAAAAAAGACAAAGACCCTCTCAGTGCTCTGGATGAAGGTGCATGAGAATGTGACATTTGGAATGATTGCCACCATTTTATATCAAAACAGAAAATAAACTCATTTAGAAGACATTTCCCTGGACTGCATTTCCTGTGATAACGCCTCCCTTACTGCTGAGGCCATTTTGAGTTGAGTGTTCTGTTACTTACAGAGGAAAGCATCTTCCTGATATGATAACATACTTGAAAAAGAGAAAGTCAGCTGTTTAGTATCCTTATTTGATGATATTTGTGTTGATAATTTTGCTTGTCCAGAACACAAGGCTTACATTCTAATTTTCTGTAATTTACTACGACCTAAGATGTAACAATGATTTTCTCTTTTACAGCGGCTTGAGAATATCAAGCGTATTTCACCCTTGAAATTGGAAGTTTCTTTCCTTACATCCTGGGTGTATGTGCTGACTCAAAGACCTGCTCCCAGATATCACATCTCTTGTGAGTTGTTTTGAATCACCAGATAAATCTTTTCCAATACTGACTCCACCTCCTATTCCTGTTCCTGCCCTTCTTGACCCAGATGCCTTATCAATCCAAGTGACATTCATTAACTGAATCCTTTGTCACAATTTTTGTATTTATTCCTTATACTATGTGTGTTGTCATGTCTGAGAATGCTTAATGCAGCATTAAGAAGAGGTTTCCAAATCTGGCCCATCACCAGACTCTCCCCAAACATATTACCTATATCCACATCTCTCTCCACGGAATTCTGATTATCAACCAGGTCTGGCAATCACTGATATAAGGACACAGAAGAGAGAAAAATTGTAGTGATCTGATTCCACACCTAAGGTAAATGGTTTCAAATCTCATCTGGCAAAGTCAATTATGTAAGAACAAAATTATTTCCTTATTGCTTAATATTTAATACATCTTTCTTTATTCTTTGGGGGGTGGTAGGAACTTATTTCAGTGGACTCTAAATATGACCACCCCTCTCAGCAAGTTAGAAAAAAATTAGTTGGGAGGAGGAGTCCTTTTAATCCTATATGTTTTCTGTTAACATTGCCATCCTCCAAGACTGCAGCGTCCCATCAGGTCTTTGGCCAGTTGTCCATGCAGGTCTATGTTGTTGCTAGCTCCACGGCTGTTGCCCTTCTCTCTGAGGTCTGCACTAATTGCCTTCCCTCTGATTCCCCCTCCCTCAAGCCCGAAGCATGCTCTTCTGTGCTCAGAGACATGGAAACCTCAGAGGGTGTCCTCCCAAACCTCTCGTCTATGCCCTTGAGTTCTTCTGTATGGGTAAGTGCCTGAGCTTTTGTAATTCAAAAGCTAGGATAATACTTTCTGTTTCTCTGCCTTTTACTGTCTGTTTCATTCCCAAGACAATTTGCACAACCTAGCCATTAAATAGAAATGGCAAGGGGGGGGGGGGCGGGGGGGAGGCGGGGTGAGCTGAAAAAGGAAATGCCAAGGAGGAACATAGTATATAAAACATTAAAATAACACACAAAATCCTGTATGGTAGGTATAACAAACATGCATTTTTGCTTCACGTTGTGTGTGCATGCACACATAACACAACACACAATGATTAGCAAAATTAAAAATCTGTCATTTGAAATAAATTTTCACTGAGTCTATTTCACATTCTAGATTCATTGGTGTTTTTTTGTGTGTTTTTTAAAATCCTCACCCAAGGGTATGACATTGATTTTTTAGAGAGAGAAGGGGGAGAGAGAGATAGAAACACTGATGTGAGAGAAACATAGGTTGGGTGCCTCCCACACATGCCCCTATGGAGGATTGAACCCACAACCCAGGTATGTGTCTGACCAGCGACCGAACCCACAGCTTTTCGGTGCACAGGACAATGGCCCAACCCATTAAGCAACACCGGCCAGGGTACAATGCATAAATTTTAAATTGCACATTGTTCTCAGTAGCATTATGAAATCTCACTCTGTCTCACTCTCTCCCACTCAGGATGTAAATCCCTTTGTCCAGCGTATCCACCTCACTTCATCTCATCACATAGGCGTCGTATGCATCATGTCACATCATTACAAGTAGAAAGGTGAGTACACTGCAATAAGGTATGTTTAGAGAGAGCTCACATTCACATAACTTTTATTACAGCACATTGTTATGTGTTCTACTTTATTATTAGTTATTGTTGTTGAACTCTTACTGTGCCTCATTTCTAAATTAAGCTTTGTCATAGGTGTGTATGTGTAGGAAAAAACATAGTTTGGTGCTACCTGTGGTTTCAGGCATCCACCGAGGGTCTTAGAACATATCCCCTATGGATAAGGGGAGCACTACTGTAATTGCCAAAGTGATTGCTGTGAAGAAAACGACTCTTATTTGGATGAGTCAATGCTGGTAGTTCACTTTAAACCAGTGGTTCTCAAATGGGACTGACTTTGCCCCCCCCCGCCCCCCCCGCCAGGGGACATTTGTCCATTTCTGGAAACCTTTTTGGTTGTGTCAACTAGGGAGGGGGTATTCCTGGCATCTAGTGGGTAGAGACCAAAGTTGGTGCTAAACATTCTACAATGCTCAGGACAGCTCCTCACAACTATGAACTGTCCAAAATGTCAATACAGCTGAGGTTGAAAAACCCTGTTTTAAACAACCAAATTATTACTTTCTAGTCATTTTTCACATTTTAATATACTTAAAAGTTTCTGACCCCCTTGCCCCAGCCTCAGTCTTACTAAATCATAGGGACCCAGCAACTCAAGTACCCAAATCTTTGCAGCACTCAAGCTCACAAACTCTTTGAGGCTCCTACGACTTCACTACAGAGGGTGCGGGTGACAGGGGCAGTTGGTTCCAGTGAGAAAACAGCCGATTGATATCTAGGTGGAAGCTTCCCTAGCAATCTTTGAGTTCTTACTGAGAAATGTATTTCTTATCTCAGGGTTTTTCTCCCCCAGGACAGCAGGAGCGGAGACTCCATCTGAACTCTGGTTTTCTAGACTCATAACCCAGAGAGAGGCCATCTGTGATACTCACCTGGGAAGCCGTGTCACCACCCCACAGGCTGAGTTCTATCACCTGTTCTGACGCACTCTGAGCTGCCCTGTCCCTTTCTGGTGAGTCACGGTGTGCCACCTTTTCCTTGTGCTCTGAGCTGGCCTTTCCCTCCTTCCTTGCCAAACCATCCTCATTTGAAGGTGTGTTTCCCTTATCAGTTCTCCGATGACCAATTATCACTTTTGTGTAATAGCTTACTTAATCTGCCCTGTCTCCTTCTCCTCCCTTATTTTGAATAGGGATAAAGTTTCAAACCACCACCCAAATATGAGGCCAGAGTTGGCTTTTCAACAGAAAGTTTCCCCAGTTCCATCGCAGACCTCCATCCCTATGCTGGTACCTTCCTGCAGCTCATTTTGATTTACTAGTATGTGTCCCTGAGCGGCATCTGTGGCTAGCCCGATCTGTTCTCGAAGGTTGGTGCCTTTTGTCTGCTTTCCAAAGGACAAGAGGATGGGACCTTGACCTCAGGCAGCCTCTGCATGTGGAAAGATTCTAGAAAGTAGGATAAGTAAGGCTGAGAGGAGAAAAGCATCTGAAAACCTGTCCGGATTAGATGTCTCTAGGAAATATAAAATTATATATGTATGACCCACCAGACTAACAGACTACAGTGACGGCTGGAACCAATGGGACTTGTTTCTCTTTCAGGAGTGCTAGAGTACCTCAAGGGCAGCTTAATCCCTGTTTGTAATCTGAGTCCTAGTACAATGACCTAAGCAAAATAGGCGGCAATAAAAATCTGCTGAATGAATTTTAAAATGTAAAACAAGGCAGGGTAAGAACAAACACTCCACCCCTTAGGCCTTCTTCTCCACTTTTTTTTCTTTTTCAAATGAATTCAATACACCTGTGTTCATTTTCTCTTCAAACAAAAAGTCTTTTTTTAGCATCTGTTATTGTGCAAGGAAGTGCTGAGCAGGACACAATATTACTTTTAAAATATGGTCCCTGAATTCAAACAACTTCCAATTTGGCAGGAAAAAAATAAATACCTATACAGATATCTAAAATGCAAAGCAGAATGTAAAGTCACACGAACAGTTCCCGTAGACTCCTACAGCCTCTAGAAATGGAGAGTCACATCTGGCTTGTGACCCGGAAGAAAGGCATATGGAGGAGAGGATACATGAGCTGAGCCTTGAGAATAAAGATTTCAATAGGCAAAAATATGTGCACCTGGAAAGAAGAGAGGCGTGAATCATTTGTTTATTCAATGAATATTCTTGAGTATCTGTTATGTGCCAACCACTGTTTTAGGTGCAACAGCTAGGTGGAAGTTTCAGTGAAATAGTAGGAAACAAAACAAAATCCTGCCTTCATGAAGTTATAGAAAAACTCCCGGTGTGTTTCCAGAGAATTTGTTAGTCTGTTTTGGTAATATACAGAATGGAGGAAGGGAACAACAGAAAGATCAAAACAAGAAAGGTAGATTCCACAGATTGTGAAGGAACCAAAGGCCAGGCTGAAGAATTTTTTGGATTTCGTTCTGTTGACAGTGAGGTGTCATTACAGGTTTCTCAACGAGGGACTGTCTTAATCAAAGTGGTGTTTGGAAAGATTAACTGGGTGGTAGAGTCTAAGGCTGGATGACTGAGGGTGCGGTTTGGAAGCAGGGAGAATTACGCAGCTATTGCATCTACTGGGAAGGATCCAACATAAGTATCATTTCCTTTGAGATGCCATCCCTGATTCAATCAGATCAGGACTGGTGTCCCACTAAGGTATTCTCATAACCATTTGTCTCATCTATGCTAGCACTTACTGCATAGCATTGCAAATGCCTGTTTATTAATTCTTCTTTCCACTCATATGAAGGAAGAGGTGACCCTCATTATCTTTGTGTTCCCAATGCCTAGACCAGTGTCTGGCACGCAGTATAAAATATCTGTGATATGAGTGAATAATCCAGTGTTAGGGGTTAAATTCTGTCCCCTCAAAATTAATATATTAAAGTCCTAACCCCCAGTACCTTAGGACATGATCTTATTTGGAGCCAGGGTCTTTACAGAGGTAATCAGGTTAAAATGGTATCACTAGAGTGGGCCCTAATCCAATGTGATTGGTGCCCTTTTTTAAAAGGAAACATTTGGAAACAGGCATGCATATAAGAAGCGCGCAGTAAGAGCATGAAGACGACCAGCTACAAACCAAGGAGAAAGGACTGGAACGGATCCTTCTCTCACAGCCATCAGAAGGGCCCAATCCTGCCAACCCTTTGCTTTTGAATTTCTAGCCTACAGAACTATGAGATGATGAATTCCTGTTATTTAAACCACCCAGTTTGTAATACTGTGCTACAGCCTCACTAGCAAACTGATATGAAAATGTTCATCGAACTTGCAGAAACCTCCAGAATTAGAGCTCAGGATTAAGGTCATCATTAACTATAAATAACAAGAGGTGATGACATGGGAGCAGCATAAATTGCCGTGATAAGTAATAGAGGAGGAAATATGGCAAAGGGCAGCATCTCAGGGAACAGGAAATAGAAAGAGAAGCCAGGGACAAAGATAAAGACGCAGCAGAAAGCTGCAGAATAAAGCTGCCTGGTAGAACCTATCTTCAAATACTGAAAAAAGTAAAGTAAGTGGTCAAAAAAACTGTCCACAAATTTTCACAGAAGCAACCACATAAGGAAGGACCACAGACAGATGTTCAAAATCTCAAAAAGTTGTGTGGCCCTGGGAAGGCTCTGGAGCAGAGCAGCAACCATAGGTGGCAAAGCTCCTAATGCAACGTGGCCTCTTCCCCAGCTGTACTCTTTTTTTTTTTTTTTAAATATATTTCTTTATTGATTTCAGAGAGGAAGGGAGGAAAAAGCGATAGAACATCAATGATGAGAGAGAAACATTGATCGGCTGCCTCCTGCACGCCCCCCACCGGGGATCGAGCCCGCAAAGCAGGTATGTGCCCTTGGCTGGAATCGAACCTGGGACCCCTCAGTCCACAGGCCAACGCTCTATCCACTGAGCCAAGCCGGCCAGGGCCCCAGCTGTACTCTTGATGCAAACAACAACAACAACAACAACAACAACCTGGGAATTCCAACTGTACCTGAACCTTGGGAATCCCTCATTTGAAACACAGAGGTCGAAGCCATTAGGGACATTCCGAAGTGAGTGTCTTCATCTCCTATATGCTTCCTTAGCTGTATGTGAAACTACACTATGCTGTGAGTGGTGCCACTCACAACAGGGTGGTCAGGAATGGTTCTCATGAAGCCTGAAGGACCAAACACATCCACCCCAATTTAGACCTGCAGGTGCTGCCCCACAACCTCCACCAAAGCCCATGTAAGGAGCTAGGTCCTTAAGGACTGACAAAAAGTTTTCTGGGAAAAAAATAAAATGGAAATTATACTTTTAAAAAAAGATGAAAACATCCTGAATACATGTATAAGACCAGGAAAAATTGGTGGTGAAGGAGAGATTGAAATTGTGTATGTGTGCATATGCCTAAGGGAAGAACTCTGACTTGACAAGAAGCCAGAGGAAGGAGGAAAATAATGAGACCACAGTCAAGTGAAGATTCCTGGCCACCACTGCAAGGAAGGCAGGCATGAGAAAGTCCCTATTTCAATACCTATAACTCAACTTATAAGCAGCTGGGGTTCTAAAGTGCAGTTATATTTCAGTTGTTTGAAAATTCAAAGTATTTCATTGAAACAAAATATAACAGGCACTTATTTTTAGACAGGCCACAAACACTGACTTAGCCCACAATGTGAGTAAACACAGTTTTAACTAGCGTTCTGGCTCTAAGAAATAGAGGGACGTTCAGCACAGCAGAAGGAAAGAGAACACCTTTCCCAGGACCTTAAGACAAACCTCATGGGGGTGTATTTTATACCCAGAGATCTCACTCTGGTTTAAATGCCTGAATACAACTATCTACCAAGGCCTAACTCCACCCAAAATGTTCCAAGTACACAATTATTTAATCCCTCAAACATCACAAAGAAAAAAGAAAAAACATAGTCAAATTATTCAATTTCAACTCATGTGGCTAGATGCTGGAAAGAAAACAATTTAATCGTTATATATATATGCCTAATATGCAAATTGTCCCTGCAGGAATTTGACTGGGAGATCACTCACTATGACATGTGCTGACCACCAGGGGGTGGCGCAGAACAAAGGAAAGTGGTGACTGGCAGCCAGGGAAGGGAGGCCCCGGCTGGCAGTCGGAAGACCCTGATCAACCCTGATCGCCAGCCAGGCCTAGGGACCCTACCTGTGCACGAATTTTGTGCACCAGGCCTCTAGTCTAAAATAAGAGTAATTCTTAAATTTTAATGTGCATTATACGTTCTTGAGATACTTGTTTAGAAGTCATATTCTAGGGCCTCCCCCCCAGGCAACATCATTCTGTAAGGTGGTTCTTCAACCACACGTAGGGAAAACACTGAGCTATGATTTTCTGTTTTTATTTAAGACTAGAGGCCTGGTGCATGAAAATTCATGCACTGGAGGGGGGGAGTCCCTCAGCCAGACCTGCCCCCTCTCTCAGTCTGGGATCCCTCAGGGGTGGGAGGCATCCCGGTGATCAGGGGAAGGCGACGCCCCCATCACACCTCTGATGCTGCCACTGCCAGCAGCACAAGCCTCAGCTGGCCCTGGTTACCTAAGCCTTGGGTGGCCCTGGGCAGCTTGGTAGCTGACATCTGAGGCTTGCCTGTGCCTTGGGCCGGCCCTAGGAGGCTGGGCAGCCGACATCCGAGGCTTGCCTTTGCCTCGGGCTGGTCCTGGGCAGCTGGGGGGCTGAGGGCGGGTCCGGCCACACTGCATGCCTGCCACCTCCCCAGAGGGGCTGAGAGGACTGGGGGACTCCGGTGGGGCTGAGGGGACTGGGCACTGCCATCTTGTGGCTATGGGTGCCACCATCTTTGTGATGGTGTGATGGTCAATTTGCATATTCCCTTTTTATTAGATAGGATAATGCATGTTAACACAAATGAATTTTTAAAGGGATGTGTTAGGTACTTACACAAACAAAATAAAGCATTTCTCACAGTATGGAGGAAAAACATTTTAGAGCAGGAGAACTACAGAAGCCC